CACCCTAATAGCAATGGCCAACCTAATAGCGATGGCCTCCACCCTAACAGCGATGACCTCCAACCTAATAGCGATGGCCTCCACCCTCAACCTAGAAGGGATGGCCTCCACCCTGATAGCCTGATAGCGATAGCCTCCGCCCTAATAGCGATCGCCTCCAACCTACTAGCGATGGCCTTCAACCTAATAGCGATGGCCTCCACCCTAAGAGCGATGGCCTCAAACCTAATAGGGATGGCCTCCAACCTAATAGGGATGGCCTCCACCCTGATAGCGATGGACTCCACCCCGTTACGGATGGCCTCCATTCCAACAGGGATGGCCTCCAACCTACTGGCGATGGCCTCCACTCTAATAGGGACAGGGATGGCCTCCAACCTTATAGGGATGGCCTCCACCAGAATAGCCTAATAGGGATGGCCTCCAAGGGCAACTGGAAAATAGAAGGAAACTCAAGGAAACTCGACTCTACTCTTGTTTTTGGCCCCTTGCCCTGACCCTTAATTCAGTGGCCGCCTACTTAATTGAGTAGGGGCTGGGAGAGCTATATACCTCGTTACTAGGTAACCTCTGCAAGTTCTGCTCAAACAAAAGGAAGGTAAGGCTATACAGCGATACATAAACGACAGCTGACAACAACAGCTTCTTCTGATAAAGTAGACGTGTGACGAAACGTGCGCTCATTAGTTCAAGTAGCTGGTAGGAAGCGAAGGAAGCCGTAAATCGATCTCCGGTTCTATAAGGAAATTACAAGAAAAAGTTGTAGGGAAAAAGATAACCAAAAAAGAAGGGAAAAAAAGGAAAGAGGTCTAAAGATAAAAGAAAGATAAAAGGAATTGTGGCAAGCAAGCTACCAAATGCCCAGGAGATCTCCGGTTCTTCTACCAGAGACGATGGCGGTAGGCGAGAGAGCTACCAGCTACCCACATTAGTGACTAGCTCATGAACGCCTGCAACTCCGCAGCAGGTCGCAGGGTATGGTGAGTCACATCAAAATGTTTGCACTTGTTCCTAGTAGCGATGCCCTTTGCTCCTAGTAGCGTCCTAGTTCGTCTAATCTTTTGCTTCACCCAAACAACAATCTGGACAAATGGCAGATTGGTGAGTTGCATTTGCGAAGACACCAAAGAATTAAGATCTCAGTTCACCTGCGTGAGTAGGAATAGTAATTCTGTTTGTGGCCAGCAGCGACTGTCCGGCCATGACGCAACTTCTGAGGTGCCTTTCACATTCCTAGGTGGAGGCCATCGCTAGTAGGTTGGAGGCCATCGCTTCTAGGTTGGAGGCCATTACTACTAGTAGCAAGGACGCTACTAGCACCTCCAACTTCCAAGGTTTGATCCACGGCGCTGTGGTCTTGCCCCCTGGTGCTGCGGCCATATCCAGTAGCCGCATGTCTTTCCTCAGCTGCATGCTGCAACCCGTCAAGACAAAGTTTGCTTGTCCTCAACTCATCTCAAAGGTGACAGCAGGCCACAACTAGGAAATCTGGGTGGCCTTCTTCTTGGCCGGGGGAGAGGCCGCCAGAGGAAGAGGTAGCTAGTAGCTTAAGTAAGCTCCTAGGTAGGACGCAGGATACCTCATTTGAATCCTCGATTTTGAGTAAAAAAAATATAGTATATAGGTTGGAGGCCATTGCTAGTAGGTTGGAGGCCATTGCTAGTACTAGTAGGTTGGAGCCCATTGCTTCTAGGTTGGAGGCCATTCACTTCTAGGTTGGAGGCCATCGCTTCTAGGTTGGAGCCCATCGCTTTTAGCTTGGAGGCCATTGCTGTTAGGTTGGAGGCCATTGCTTTTAAGTTGGAGGCCATCTCCTTTTAGAAAAAGAATACGCTGTGGCATATCCTGCAGCTTGGCGCCAAGCTTCTTTGGAGCACCAAAAGCATCCATCAGCGCTGCCACAGGAAGGAGGGAGGAGGCCTGGTGCAAAGACGGGTTGCGGACTCGCAAAAACCATTTTCACATGTATAAAAACATGACAAATGGGAAACCAAAAACATGACCAAGTGCTCGAAAGCCTTGCCCTTTGAAGTCTACCCACCACGCTGCCATGCTATGTTTTGGCAATTGGAAATACGCGTAAGTTTCTAAACATCTAGGGGCTAGAAGCTACTAGGGGCTCCTGGCATCGCTACTAGGAGCAAAGATGCTACTAGGGGCTCCTGGCCGTACTACTAGGAGCAAGGTTCGCTACTAGGAACTAAATGAATAGTGCGATCGCTTCTTCAAGGAAGCTACCCCCGCCTTTAGGGCGGGGGGAGCTTCCTTGAAGAAACGCGAGCTAACCTGCGTCCTACCCAGAAGCAGTCCTTGTAGGTAGTAGCTTACCTCTCCCTCATTTAAGTAGGTGCCTACTCAATAAGTAGGCAGGGGGCGGAGCGGCTTAAAAAATAACTTGCATCGTCGGATTTTCGTAAAGCTCTGCTGTCCTCCTGGACATAGACTTGCCCACTAAAGAATGCCGCATCGCGACCCCAGCCAATGGGCTGTGTGGGCTTTGTGCTGGAGGCACTGGAGGCCTAAATTCGTTTCGCTTTGAACGCTCGTAGCATCTCGTATCCTGTATCTGTTTGAGATAGAAACCCACGCTCAATCACCAATGACTTGTACCAGCATCAGAGTCACACCTTGCAACTACATTAGCTAACTTATGTAGACTTGGTGTTTAGAAAAATATCAAGACGGCAATGCCCTTGTTCCATCTTGTTCCTAGTAGCGATGCCCTTTGCTCCTAGTAGCTTCTTGATACTACTAGTAAGGCCAGGAGCCCCTAGTAGCGTCCTTTGCTCCTAGTAGCGATGCACTTGTTCCTAGTAGAGATACCCTTGTTCCTAGTAGCTTCTTGTTCCTAGTAGTAAGGCCAGGAGCCCCTAGTAGCGTCCTTGCTCCTAGTAGCGATGCACTTGTTCCTAGTAGCTTCTTGTTCCTGGTAGTAAGGCCAGGAGCCCCTAGTAGCGTCCTTGCTCGTAGTAGCGATGCCCTTGTTCCTAGTAGCGTCCTTTGCTCCTAGTAGTAAGGCCAGGAGCCCCTAGTAGCATCCTTGTTACTAGTAGCGATGCCCTTGCTCCTAGTAGCGATGCCCTTGTTCCTAGTAGCGTCCTTTGCTCCTAGTAGTCGGCCAGGGTTGTAGTAGCGTCCTTGTTACTAGTAGCGATGCCCTTGCTCCTAGTAGCGATGCCCTTGTTCCTAGTAGCGTCCTTTGCTCCTAGTAGCGATGCCCTTGTTCCTAGTAGCTTCTTGTTCCTAGTAGTAAGGCAAGGAGCCCCTAGTAGCGTCCTTGCTCCTAGTAGCGATGCACTTGTTCCTAGTAACATCCTTTGCTCCTAGTAGTAAGGCCAGGAGACCCCTAGTGGCTTCTTGTTACTACTAGTACGGCCCTTGCTCCTAGTAGCGTCCTTTGCTCCTAGTAGCGATGCCCTT